TGTATTTGAAAAATTGTGAACACACACGGAAGCTCATACCTTGAATAAATCTTTGTTGGTCTTAAAGGTGCCACTGGACTCTACATTTGTTCTATTACTCCTGATATGGTAGACACACATATTTTGCATTGCTAAAATGAAGACTATAATGCCAGAGGTGTAATTGCACCAAAAGACTACTAAAATGGAGTTTATCCCTTCTCAGACATCCTTCTGTAATATCTGTCTACCAGTTTTCTATACAAACTGGTTCTAGGAAACTTTAGCATGATTTTCTTTACTTAGGTGCACAGCTGACAATATGGACAAAAAGATTATTATAGTTGTCTCTAACAACTCAAAACATTTGAATTATGTTTACAGAGTTGGAAGCTCCTGAGAGCCATACTGTTATACGCACAGTTTATGAAACTTTGTACTCTGCCACTGACTAACAGGTTTAACTTAGCACTTCCTTGGTGCATATGTTAAGTGCCATTTATGATTCTAACATCATGAATGTTTTCAGGTATTAACTTTGGTTCATTTGTGACTGTTGTTTGGATGCATGCTGGGAAGATAATATGCTGAAGCTTGTGACCTTGCTCGTTATGGCCAGCTGTAACTGCGCATGTCCCTGAATGTCAGTTAGCTTGTGTTAGATGAAAACCATACTACATGATGTACCCATATCTGTTACATTGGATACTTTTTATCACTTCATAGCCTGGGAAGAAGAAGGCCCATAGTTCAACTGAAGGAGGTATATTTTTGCTTGAGAAAGTCCAACCTACAGGCCTGGGCCCAATCAGAATGGTGTGACGGATATATGACAAAGTTTGATGGAACCAATAATTATGATTTATTTCTAACTGTCATAGGGGGTATAAAACTTTATGTCTCCCATTGTAACCTTAGGGAGAGCTGTGGGATCCAAAATCTTATTGGATCTGCACCCTCCTCCTTTGTTGATCAATAAAGTACAAGATCTGATTCTGCTCTACAGGATTGTACTGAGTGTTTTCTCAAATTGGGCTGAGGAAACACACACACTCAGACAGGATTATTTTCTGTACATCAATACTGTTCTACAAAAATAGGTAATTCATAGTTGGAGTCATTTCAGAGCATAATGCTGTTGTGTCTACACAGCCACCCTGACAGAAAATGTTATTTAGCACAAAATGAGAGGAAAATATATTTATAGGACATTGTACAGTCAAGCAAATGTGCAATAAAAGCTGTCAGAAAGCTAAATCTGTGAACAAGCATATTACTAATTAGCCAGGAATCCCTCATTAACCCAACATTAACCTTTTGGAGCCTTACTTGAAAAGGATGTTTAAAAATATGCCCAAATTCACATTACTGCAGGGTTAGAGAAGGCCACCTGTTGGAATATGCAAGGTGTAGCATGCATAGATAAAGAAAATGACATGGGGGGTAGCAGAGGGGACAACTAGTTAGCATAGTAAGATTAGGGACTTCCTGTTACCTCCTTCCTGTCTCCTGATTGGCTCAGTTGGGTTTTTCCCACCCTGCTGAGATCAGTTAGCTGCTGACTCTCCACTAGCCAGTTAGAGAATTACACTTCTCTTTCTCTCTCCTCTTTCTTACAAAGTCTGTTCTGTTCTTAATAAACCGACTTTATTCTTTAAACAGCTTGTGCTCCACTTACTGAATATCTACACTCTGCCAACACTACCATTCTATTTTGTTATGCATCTTTGTGGCCTGTTTCAGCAGCTCAATAAGTCATATTATTTTTCAAAAATGACAGTGATCCCATCTTCAGAAACAACAGTATTTCTCCCCATATGACCCCTGGAGGACACTCAGGTCCATGAATCAGCATCTTTTAGCCGTTCCCAGCCCCAGGGACATCCTACTAGTTTTGACCAGGGCCAGGGCTTTTTTGGCCCTGGTCCCTACCTGGTGGAATGAGCTCCCATACAAGATCAGGGCCCTGCAGGATCTACTACAGTTCCGCAGGACCTGCAAGATGGAGCTCTTCCACCGGGCTTTTGGTTGAGGCGGTGGACGTCCCTTCCTGGCTATCTCCACCTTAGTGGCCTGGATTTTAACATCGGTACTGCTGAATTTACATTGGTGGCCTGGACTTTAACATCAATATTGTTGAATTGATATCAGAACTAGATTGTTTGCACAGTATTTTATGGTTTTATTGTTTTAATAGTTGTTAATTGTTATTTAATGATATTGTACTGAGATTGTTGTAAACCGCCCTGAGCCCGTTTACGGGGAGGGCGGTATACAAATCAAATCAAATAAATAAATAATCAACCTATGTCTATGTATATGTATTCTATGTATAGAAGATTTTAATACAATGTAACTAAGTACTTGTATGGCTTCCCAGTTTTTTTCATGGGCATGGATGAGAATGAGCTGACAGAGCCTGCAGAAACCATGGCTGGCCCCTCTAAAGCAGCAGAGGAGGATAGCTGGCAAGTGCCTATAACAGCAGTCTTCACACCTGGCTCAGATAAGAAGGAAGAACTGCAAGCTGAAAGTCCTCCTGACTCACCCCCACATGTGACTCGTTTAAGAGAGCGACTCTGGCAAAACTTAGCAACCAAGCAAAAAGAGGCCAGGCTACAAGGGAGGCGCTCAACTAGCCCAGAGTTTTAACAGAAGCCTGGGCGATTGTGCAACTGGCTAATTGGTAACAGCATTTAACTCCACACTCTGGGCAGTACTCTTTGTGGAAGCAACAAGCCAGCTTCATGCTGCTTGCATCCATTTCATCTCGGCTCTTGCACTTAGACCTTTGGGCCCCCTGGCTTTGGACTTGTCTCTGTGTTCTTGGCTCCTGACCCCAACTTGGCTTTGTACTACATTCTGGTTAGTGATTTTGGACTTTGCTATGTGTTTCTGGCTCCTGACCCCAGCTTGGCTTTGGACTCTGCACTGTCTTCTTGGCTCCTGACCTTGGCTTGTTCTGGACTCCCTTTGACTGGCACCCCAGCCTATGAAATTTTCCTCTAGAAGAAAGGGCTCAACTTTCTTTCACATGGGTAGTTTGATCTGTTGCCCTTACTGTTCCCTTATACATTTAAAGCGCACGATCAGACAGCAACATCTGTCTGTTGTGCCTCAGTCATCTGAATCCCCCCCCTTCCCTGTGTTTCTTTGATACCTGAGAAAGTCTGGTCCTGTTGGTCTGAGCTGCTTCCAAAACGGATTTCCTGCTGTCTGATCGCAGTCTTGTGCACCTGAGCTGTCAGGCAGCTTTGACTGATCTCCTGTTTTCTGGACCCCATTTTTAAAAAAACTATTTAGCGATGAGTGCATAAGTGCTTATTTGCACCTATCTCTCTCTCTCTCCTCCCCCCTACAGGGGCTGCTCAAAATTTTGCTTTCTTTTTAGAAACTCTCAGAGAAAAACACCTCTGTTCTTCAGCTTTGGGGAAGGGGTAAATTGAAATAATTACAGGGAAGATGCCAGTGAACTCCATATCCCAGCATTCTCAGCAAGCACTTGTGTGCATGCTCACAGGGCAAACTTGTAAAATAATGGCTGATAGCCCCATGAACTACATAGCCCAGCAAGCTCCTCCTTGCTTGTGGGCATGCTCTGAGGATCAACTCCGTGCCTGCTGCTGTGTGGTCACTTCAGGGCCAGTAGAAGCACTTTGAAGTGGGCTAAAAAGGGTGATTCTGATCACGATTCTCTGGCAAAAAATAATCTGGCTCAATTAGAGGCAGGGCAACAGTGGATTGAAGTGCCCGTCTGAATGCAGCCTTAATTGGGCACTACTCTGCTGGAAGGCAAATATTAAACTGTCCAAGCACAGTTCTACTATGTTAAATGGCCTTAGGTGCTCAACTCTGTCTGCAAGGCAATTTAGAACAATTTAGAATTAAAATAATGAATAAAGAGTATGAGAATTCTACAAGAAAGCTAATAACAGAT